CATAAAAGATAATTATTAAAGCTAATAGCTAAGAAGCAAGAATTTCTAGACGCCTTTAAGATACCTTATAAATTAATCTTAATACTTCCTTAATTATTACTTATATTACTTAGCAAAGAGATAGTATTTATAAAGATAAAGTCTATATTAAGTAATATATCAAAATATTCTAACCCCTTTTTATAATTATTATATATAAAAGGGTTATAAACTATAGATTTAAAAGGTTTTTTAAGGAAAAAAGCTATAATATATAATATATTAGCATATTTTATAAGAGTATAATATATTATATTATATTTAGTAAATATTATCTACTTTTTAATAATAAAGGTAATATAAAATTAGATAGCTTTTTAAATATAAATATAAGAGTTAAAAAGTAAGGAATAAAAAAGAGTTGCCTTTTTTATTTAAATTAATATAGGTTCTAAAGAAATATAAGAATATCTAAAGAGTTATTTACTTAAATTATACTTTAGTAGACTTTTAAAAATATAAGTTATATAGCTTAAGGTTCTCTTTAGCTATAAATAATAAATCTAAGGTACTTATATAATATAAGAAAGAAATTAAGCAAAAGAAGCTAGATTTCTTTTAAGAGATTGAGTAACTAAAGCTAATTCCTATAAAGACGCTCTTAAAAAGAAAGACTAAAGTAATAATAATTATTATATCTAACTTATTAAAGTTAAAAACTATTATTATACTTAGCTTATTAAAGGCAAAGCTATTCTTTAGTTTAAGGATATTAAATAAAGCCGCCTTATTACTAATTAAAACTTAATCTAGTATAAGTAAGGATAAGAAAGCTACTATAGCTTCTAAGATAGCTACTCGCCTTTTACCTTTAAAATGCAAAGCCTTATTAGATAAAAGATAAGACCAAAAGTATTAGTATACTAATATAAACTATATAAATATAATATAATAAGATAAAGAGTAGATAAAAGACGCTCTTTAATAAGCAGAAAATAATTAGTAATTAAGTAAAATAAAAGTTTAGAGAATTAAAATAAACATATATATTAAGATAATATAAGTAATAATTATCATTTAAAACACGCAAGCCTAAAACTATATTCTAAGGGTTACTAAATATAATATTAATTAAGAGATATAAGGAAATCTAGTATTTAACTTAATAATAAAATAAAATAGAGTCTTATAAAGAATTATAAAATAATATAAGTTAATCTAACTAATAATAACTCAAAACATTTACTAATTAATTAGATAGCTAAATAAATTAGTAATAAATATAACTAACTTAGAAGTAAAAGACAATATTAATATAACTAATAATACTAATAATATCTTAATTAATAAGGTAATTATAAATAAAGAAGGCCTTAATAATAAATAAAAAGAACTAAAAAGCAAGTCACCCTTTAAGATGCTTATATATTTTAATAATAGTAATAATAAAGATAATAATAAAGCTAGGCCCTTAGGTATTAATAAAGAGACATCTAATCTTAATAATAAGCTAGATATAAAATTATTAAAGAAGTCAAGCTTAAACTTAAGTCTATTAAAGATAGCTCTAACATTAAGTAAGGCTTGCTAGAGCAATTATTTATACAGGTTAGGCTATAATAGATAGCTTATTAAGATAGACAAAAAAGACAAGAGTAAAGCAAAAGCCTAAAGACTCTTATATATAAATACTAATTTTATATATAGAGCTACCTTTCTTTAGTTTTTTAGGTTTAGAACGCCTAAGCAACTCTAGGCATCTAGAATTAAGATTTTTTTTTTCTTATATATAATCTTATAAAGACGTATTAATATATAATAAAGTCATCTAATATAGCTTTATAAATTACTATAAGGCTAACTAAGAGCTATCTTATAACATTTATAATTAATAAAAAGCTATTTATTTTAAGAAGAATAACAATATCCGCCTTATTAGTATTAATACGCCTAGCCAGAAGAGAGGCATACTAAGTTCATGAATAAGTTCGCATATATTAAGGGACTGCCCTTAGACTGTCTTTTTCTTTTTCAACAAGGACGCCGACTTCTTCAGAGGAGGGAGGTTGTCATGCCCATGGCATGCCCTGACCAAGACGCCTCAGCAGATGCGCCTCAAAGGCGACTACTAAATGTTAGTAGTATTTAGTTAGTTAGTCGCCTCAGAGGCACTTAGTCGCCTCAGAGGCAGATAGAGAATAGACACACTCCACTCATGCACTGACTTCAGACGGATTATCGCCTTCATACGCATCTGGCCTACAGGTGCACTACAAATAGTTTGTAAGTGCCACATAACTAATTAATATTCCAGGAAGCTGTAAAGCGAGACTATATCGTAGTTGAAATGAAATTAAGCCCTTTATATTTGTGAAATCAAAGGCTGATTGAGCAGTCACGGCTCAGCAAGCAGAAAAAAATTTCAGTCAGTGTAGCCTGTAAGAAGACCGCATGAGAAGAAAGCGAAATCTAACTAGTCTCTTTAGAGGGTTTCAGTACTCCGGCGGCCCGGCTCTTTGTGATCACCCTAGAGTAGTAAATTAGGCCAGGGCACTAAGGTACAAGTTCATTAAATGGCGGTGTGCTGAAGTTGGTAGTTTCAAAATGCGATAGAAATACTCTGTACAAAAATGCTAAGCTAAATCCTTTGCATAACTTAAAGGGGTTCACCTACATTAGAGCATCTGAAAAACTTTTTTGGTATTTAATTATTTAATGTGGCCTTAAGCCCTTAATAGTCCGCCTTAATTACTTAAAGCAGCAGCTAATACAGGCTCTGCTACTGTCAAAGGTATTAAAGTTCATTTTAATAGGCTGATCGCTAACCCGGCCAAGATTAGTTAAGAAAACACGCCCCTTAAAGAAGGGCTATTTGCTCTGAGACTTGATGTGATTCACAAGTTATAGGAATAGGCATGACTATTTCTATATATAGTAAGTCAAATGTTATCTAGGAGACTAGAAATCATTTTTATTTTTATATATTGTGCTCTTTGCTCCTTACTCTAATAATTTACTCATCTACTCTTCCTATAGTATAGCATCTGTATAATATTGTTCCTATTTTAGCTTATACCTTTGAAAGTGTAAACAATTTATAAACTCCCTTCTAAAACTAGACTAATAGCTCTTTAATAGCTTTTGCCTTATCTGTAATTAGCTGTATTACTACTAACCTATATAGCCCCTTCTCCGGGTCTATAAACTATACTCACGTTAGTTTAAAGGCATATTCCTATATATTATAGTCTATTTATAAACTTACTTATCTGATATTAGGCAGACCTGCCTAAAGCATTATACTCTTGCTAAATCACCTGTCATACCCATCTAATAATACTAAATCGCCTAAGCTCTAACTCTTAGTACTACTAAGCAGAACATTAGCCCCTAGCTCAATATCAAATTATTTACTATTCTCTAAGAATTTCTACAGAGCCTCCTTACTCTCTGGCGTAAGCTAAGGCCAAAACAACTCCTCTTACGACTTATACTTCTTTAATAACCTCTCATCCTGTCACAGAACCGCTTACATGAATTTGAAAAAATCCTGCACTAACTCAAACGACCCATTGCCACCTAGACAGTCTGTCAGGCTATTGTTGAGGTCAAAGTCCTTACCCAGCGATATATATTTCCCGTCTTAGTTCCACGTACTCATCTTAGCAATCCGCCCAGCCATGCAGGGTTTCGTGCGCGGCTAGAACATTACATTAGTCAGGCCTAAAGGACTCTATATATGTAAAGACATATAGTCTTCGAGGGAAAGGCTTGTTGCCTATTCGATAAGCTTGCCCGCCTAGTTAGTGCCAAGGCTATACATCTAAGCAGTACTAGGCTCGAAGAATAAAGGGTGGTTAGCGGGGGTTTCGATTATAAGGCCGGAACTAGGGGTTTTATTACAGGAGGTGCGCTATACATTAAGAATAAGGGAGAGTTGCTTATAAGCAAGGCTAGAGGAGTGGGTTAGAAGATAGCTGTAGTAATATACAGAATATAGATTAGCAACTAAGAATACAAGTATATTATAGGGTCAGGTACCAGAGGGTTATCAGGTTCTGTCTTAGTCTAAGGGTAGATTGGTTAGTTATAAGATTAATAAAGTTAGAGATAATAAGGATAGCAGCTAAGTTAGGGAGCAAACAAGTAACGTCTTTATTAGAGGTAAAGAGGCTGTCCTTAACACATTAGAGGACCGCAATAATAGTGAATAATTTAATATAAGAGGCGATTATTATAATAGTTTCCGGCTTAAGGAGCTTGCTAGCATTTTTGACACTAACAGACTACACGCTCATAGCCTTAGTATAAGTGAAACTTTCTATATCCACACGTATAAGGCAGGCTCAGTCGGACTGTTATGACCTGGGAAATAGATTAGTGCTAGACAAATATACCAGTTATATTAGCCGTAAGAAGGACGACACTAAGGAGTATGTTAGCGTCTATTGCAGATTCATAGGCGGCTTCAAAGGGTGCTATAATAAGCATGAGAGAGAGATAAACAGATGCCAGCAGTAATATACTACGTTAAGAGCTATAATAGGTGTCGCGGGGCTGCTTACTAGCATTCAGATCGAGTCGATATAACAAGACTTTATGTATTGCTCGTCTATAAGTGGGTTGAGGTAACAAGCCTCTAGGTGTGGCTGGTTTATAAGTATAATTATCGGTATCTGTAAGCGGAATATGTTAGGAACGATATATTTATTTAACCGAAAGTCTTAGCACATACAAACAAAATTTAGCTGTGCACTACTTAATAGGAAGAAGCCCACTTTAAAAAATGGTAAAAGAGTAGTCAAAGTATATTTAAAGTTTATTTAACTATAAGATTACTTAAAATATAGCAGAATATATAGCTAAGGCATCTGTAATCTAATAAGATTTTATTATTTATAACGTTATTTGTTAAAAATATAGTCTTCTTATAGTTAAAATATGCCTCTCTAATTATATCAAGTGTGTATTTAATAGAATAATTATTATTCTTACTAATAGTACTTAGCCTATATTTTTTATTATCCCTTCTGGACCTCCTCCTCAGTATCCTCCTCCTCAGTATCCTCCTCCTCAGTATCCTTCTTCTCGTTATCCTTCATGATATCCTCCTTGATATCCCCCTCGATATCCTCCTCCTCAAAGTCCGCAAGGTTCTGTTTAGTTCACTGCCGGCTTTGATAGACGTAATCCACTTATCAGAAACTCAACACCAAGGGCCAGCTGTTGAGTTAGGGCAAGATACAAGTGCCAGCAAGGTCTATAAGCAATTTTAAGCAATTTTTACGCGTTTTCGTACGTGGGGAGCTATTCCTATATCCCACTGCAATTCTGCCCCGCGGCGCCAGCAATTCGAGGGTAGCGCCTAGGATTCGCAACACTTTCGCAATGCACAATACCGCAGCGTCACGCTCACTCATAATATCGCTTCCTCGAAATGCGAGGTGGCCTAGTCCCGATAGCCTCTGACAGGGTGTATTTCATGCTATGCCCACCAACGGTATTAGCCGTAACGTCTGAAAATTGTAAATAAATCTGCTTTTTCAATGCGCCTGAAAATCCGGCCCCCCCGAGCAAATCTAAGTCGGCCCTACGCACTCCCGCTAGGATGTATACCAAGCCGAAGCCCTTGCCCACGGGGAGGCTGTGATATATAACGCAGGCAAGGGCAGCAAACGCCGTAAAAACCGGCTGTAAAGCAATGATGACGTATAGACCAGGTTTGGCATTGAGGATCTGTACGAAAGAATTGACCACTTGAATATTAGCCGGAGGCGCGTACTTGAGGCTGTCGGACCCTGCGAGGTCGAGGGCGAAGTCTCGCATGTGTATTGCGCAGGCCCACCACGCGGTGGCTACAGCTGTCGCATACGAGGATCTGAGCCAGGGAGACTGGTTGCGAGACTTGGCGAATTTGCCGAGACTATGAACGAGCACCGGAAGTGTGTCTAGCCAGAAGGGCCAGAGTCGGTCTTGCCGCAGAAACTCCGATTTCGTTACTGCAGTGGTGTCGTTGCAGTTGCCGGAATCTAGCTTTACACCACCGCTTGATGTGATGTTACACTTGCCCCAGCACTTCCGACGTCGAATGTTGAACAACAGTGCGTTCTCACGGAACGGCTTAAACCGTGTTTGGTCGTCCATGCCCACGTTTGAGAGAGCAGGGCCTTGTCCTTTGAAGGGAAAAGACCCCAGGAGATAATACACCCCATCGGTGTCCTGAGGTATTCCTGGAAGGGCACCGAATTCATTTTCTGTGTCAAATAGAGAGAATGAGTGAAGGTCTTTCTCAGAGAGGGTCTCGTTCAAAAAACCAACATCCGCTCTCAGCGACTCTGTTGATTGGTTGTAGGTGGCAACGAATGCGTTAACTGACGCTTCCACCGTCCAGGTCTCGTTGCCTGTCATCTCGCTTTGCATTCCTTCAAGATAGTCTGGCATAGAAATGTCGAGAGCAGCAGCCTCACCATCACCAAGCAGAAGTAGGTTGAATCCCTAAGCAGCCGGAAACTTTGGAGGCCAGTTGGAATCATCGGAGGCGGCGGTCCTGAAGCCAGTCGCCGAACTCATCATCAAATAGATGGAGTTGTTCATTGTCGCAAATTCCCCAGGGCGGGATAGTTCAAGCCGTACTCGGCGGTCGATTTAGGGGTGATTCTACGCGAGCTGACCCCACCCAAGAAAGCCTTGTATCCAACACTCAAGGCGATCGGCATCGCCAACATCAGGACCAGGACTGTCCTCCACCTCAAGTCGAGTTTGCTGGCAAAAAGATCACTAGTCAAGATGGCGCTATAGTTTTGGAGGGTGGATCGCCCCCATGCAGCCTCCGCTATCAGGAAAGATCTCGGCAGCAGATGCATCTTCATGCATAGGTTCATCCCGGTCAACAAGGCTCCAATGACGATTATCTGCTTCTGGAGACCAAGATAGGCTGCAAATCCTACTTCAGGTTTGATTGCAAGGACAGCCACGACGAGGCAGAGTAGAGAAACGACCAGCTCAATTACGTAGATCCTATGGAAAAGCCGAGGTTTCCCGGCGATGCCACATTGAAGATGATGTGATGGATGATTCCTTGGAGGTGAATGACCGCTAGGAGGTGGATGCCCATTTGGAGGAGTTCGACCATGTGGAGCTGTCTGAGTGGGTGATCTTGGGATGAGTGGTATGGAGTGGTCACTTCCCGTAGTAGAGTTATTGGTAAACATGTCGACGCCTTGGAGACCAATCAACAAGGATGCTAAACGTTTGTCTTGTATTTTGCAATCTCAGTGAACAAGGAACAAGCTGAGTAAGGATGAAGAGACTTTGGAGGGCGGAAAGGCTGATCGATGATGATGAGGTCCTCCATCGTGTTTTTGATTTCTCTTATCATTTCTCAAAAGCAGGGCTCGACTGACGATGTTGGGAGGGGTTGAGACTCAGAGGCCAAATATTAATAGAAGACAGCAGTAACCGCAGAATACATTGGGGCGTGTCCTCGTTACGGTCTCTGAGAAAAAATGCAATAAGGCTGCAGAAAAAACGGAGGAAAGGAGTATCACATTATTGACAATGGCGTTAGACTGGGGTGATGATTCGCCCTCATACGAGACATTTCATTGGCCCCCACTTCAGGTTGTAGATCGGCTGATGAGGAGACCAAGCAGGATGCTTGACCTTGGTGGTGTGAGCCGTTTGAGGCTGCTCGCTCTTGTTGGCAAACACGTGGATACGAGATTCAAAGGGGCCAGCGGCAGTGATGAGCGAAAGTCTTGCGAAAATTTGGAGGGTGTGCGGAGTTGCTGGCGCCGCGTTGTCAAACAGCAACAGCTCTTGTAATCTTTTCTATGCATCAAAACCAGATGTGATATATGTCAGAATCCCTGCGTATATGATACGTATCTGTTACGTATTAGCATGATGGTACAAGGGTCCCCGCATGCAAAACGCACGAAACGCTCTTGTAAGTGTTACGCCCTGTTATTTATGGCAGTGAGCATTGCTATACGAATTGAACGCCAAATGCTGTTTCTGAGCTGTTACAGTAATGCGCTTCTATAGCTATTAGTATGAGCAAATGCTCCTCTTGATAGGAGTGACTCAATCAAGTGAATTGGCACCTCCGTATGCTGTTTGCTACTACTTCTAACAATATATAGCAAAATGATGTTGAGACTCTCCTGATTCTAATGATATAATAAATAGTAATACAGATCTTTATTGGTAGAGATAGCTTTCTACATAGTAAATTCTACTTCTTCAAAAAGAATCTTTTATATATAGAATCTATATCAAAAGAGTCAGAAGAAGCTCAGCATTATTTTGATACCTTGTTTATATGATATAGACTTGTGGTTGATCCTCAAGAGCTGTTTCTTTTTGAGAACGCGGCGCTAGCAATACTCAATATAACGCCAAGGATTCGCAAGACTTTCGCAATGCACAATAGTGGCCTTGACAAACACCACCGCCGCGACAATAGCGGCTGTGAAAGGCATCCAGGCCACCAGCCTTCCACGTCGGCTGGCCCCTTTCCCCTAAGAAACAAGCTCCCATCTCTACACGTCTAAGGTTACTTCTAGATCATCTGCCTCCTCTACGCACCCCATCTGCTGCATGTGAATAAAAAGTGCTTCGTGGACTCAGTCGTCACGCCGCACCCACATCTCACAATCCGCACTTGGTATCACCCTACTCCATGAAGATGCTTATGGAACCGACTCTCCACGACGTATTTTCTGGGCCCTGATCTTGTTGAGCTGGGGGATGAAGTGCTCTCTTCGCCACAATGGGGAGAGTGTTGATCCGATTTTGGATGAGGTAAAGGATGTAGGGAACGACATTGTCTCAATGTACTTCGAGGATCGAACCAGTCTCAGTATGAGGGTGTTTGACACGTCGCGGCTGCTTGACCTAGGCATCGAAATCGATTTGGAGAGATGGGCAGCAATTAGGAAAGACAGGCTGGACAGCCTCTTCTAATATGGGATATTGGGAACCCAGCTCGAAGAGAAATGGAATCCAGAACGGCGTTGCAAGTAGACACCGCAAGAAGATCCATCATCAACAGAGGCAATTTTAAATGAAATCCACTACATCTTCATTCTGCTCATCATTATCGTAGTCGTCAATCTTCATTCTTCAGAAGTCAAAGTTTGCTGAATCATCACGCAAGCCTGCATCAAGTTCCTCCATCTTGCCTACAAAAAGATAAACGTAGTAGTAGCGGTTCCCTCTTCCGTATCCATCAACCTTGTCACATCGGAGGGAACTCCCGACCATTACCTTCAGGGTGGCGCTGGACGGCTATGGCGGAGGCCGTCAATGAGGTAGGCCGTCGTGAGGCAGGATCATGCAGCGCTCACCCACGAATTAACCAGACGGCAGAGCGGTGATGAGCGGGTGATAAAAGCGGCGTCGAAGGGGTGAAGGACCGGGTTGAGTGCGGAGCTGATTTTACTTCTCCTGTGTTGCCCAAATTTAAATATCGGATCGCGTTTAAGTAATGGTTACAACCATGTATTGCCCGTAACACTGACGAGACTCAAACATTATTTTATCCTCTGCAGGAAATTTGCACCGAATCTGACGCCAAAGGTGGTCTGAATGACACTTCCTGCTGCACACTGTAGATAACCTCTGACCGCACCTTGCCAATTCTGAATTGCTCTTTCATCATCCACAGCGCTGGCTGGCTGTCAAAGGGTCAAATATTTGAAGAGATATGTAATACACAATGTAATAAATGATACAGCTGGAAACTTATGCAGTATTGTCAACCTGCTGTGCAGAGTGCGTAGAGAAGCAAGTTGATTGATAGCTACGGGGGTAGAGAGCGTAGATCTATGTACAATTGGCTGTACCGTACAGCGAAATTAGAAGCGAAATAGCGTCGGCGGAAATTGACCAATTAGAAGCAGCAGAAACGCAGGGATTACGCATATTAAACGCGGCCAATTAGCCCTCTCAGAAGGTCAACAAGTATTTACTCAGAGGCTTGGAACAAGGCCTGACCAAATATGGCACACTTAGAGTTATTACTGACTCACTATGTCGGACAGTGCTGTCAGAGATGGGGACTGGATGCAAAGGAGGTGCGACACAAGCGAGTCCACAGATCGAGAACAATCTTAACAAGCTCAACGCTGAGCTGTTAGGATCTCAAGGGAATGCAAGGGCATTAGAACAGTAGGGAGTTAATGGATTGACTTATTGAGCGCAAAGAACTGGCATCTATGTACAAGAAGAAGGATATAAGTAGTAAAGCGCCCCTTGGATGCGCAGAACAACGTAGAAGATGGGTAGAATGATACAGAATCCACCAGGGTCCTCCTGGCCTTCATACATACTAGTACGCAGGGCACACGCTTGGCATGCTTGGCGCGCATAACATTAGACTGAAACTAGCACACATTGATGGTAATTTAGGCATAGTTTTCAGAGGGCCTTCTCTTGCTAAGTATCACGTGTATACTACTAAGATCTAGGCCAAATATCACATAGGTACCAGAATTCTTGAGAGTTCTTACATTTCAATACATATGGACCTGCACATGCAGTCGCTAGACCCAGCCGTTAGAGATAACAAAGATAAGTATAGTAACGTAGAGCCTTGCTCCAAGATGTCTGAATACTCGATGGCAGATGGAACCACTTGACGATGATGGGAGTGCTCAAGGATAGAGCTCTTCCATCGTAAATGCAAAGGTGGCAGCCTTGGGCGGAATCGTGAAGAGATACATGCTTTAGAATGTCAGCGGTTAGGTGAAAAACGTTGTGCACGATACTCTTGTTCTACTAGTGCAGCCGAGTACTGTGCATTGCGAAAGTGTTGCAATTCCTTGGCGCTACCCTCGAATTGCTGGCGCCGCGGGGCAGAATTGCGGTGAGATGTAGGAATAGCTCCCTAGGGCCGTAGAACGCGTAGAAATTGCTTGAAATTGCTCATAGACCTCGCTGACGCCCTTCTCTTGCCCTATCTCAACTGCTGGCCCTTGGTGTTGAGTTCGCGATGAGCAAACTGCGCTTTTCGAAGTCGACCGTCGACGAAATGGCCCTTTTGCTTGCTACAGGCGTAGAACCACGAGAAATAGCTTATAGATTTCGATGCCACGCTTCAACTGTGGGCCGAATCCGGCAGAATATTGATACGTTCGGAGAGCCACGGCCAGCGCCTCAAGCGAAGATGAGTAGGCTACAAAAAATCACTCTAGAGGCGCTTGAGGGCCTCCTTGATTAGCTTCTGGATAACGGCTCAGAGAAGAAGCTCTTGTATCTAGACAAAATGGTAGCGTTTCTAGATGAGGAGTATGATATAGAAGTATCGAAATCAACTGTCTGTCGAACGCTGGCAAAGGAGAAGATCATATAGAAAGCTGTTAGTACTATATTATTCTAATTCGCACAAATTCAGACTTACTTTGTAGGTTAAGCGTTAAGCTACTAAGCGGGATAAA